GGGGGGGGTGAAGGAGACGTCACAGGGACAAGTCACAGGGACAAGTCACAGGGACAAGTCACAGGGACAAGTCACAGGGACAAGTCACAGGGACAAGTCACAGGGACAAGCTGGTTCCATCCAAAACCCTTTGGTGGGCTTGGCTCGGCCTCTGGGGAGCTGTGCCAGGTGCTCACAACTAGGGTGCCGGGCAGGGCTGGCTTCTGGGCCCCGTCCACCTGTGTGAACTGGAATAAGCCTTGCCCTGGGAGTGGACCGCATGTGCCCATGGGACACCTGTCCTGCATTAGATGCCCTCGGCAGCCCCAGGTCCACAAAGGGTGGTCCTCTGGACCACCCCAGCGTGTGTATGAAGGTCCCCCCGCCCCCGGAGTTGGCTCTCAGCCCTGGCCCCCAGGGTCTCCTGGGTGGGGACTGGTCAGGGCTGTGGGCCTTCAGCAGGACCCCATCAGCGGCAGCGAGGCAGGCAGATAGAGCCACTGGCCAGGCATCTGGCCCCTGCCTGAGAAGCCAGCTGAGACAGGGGGACACGCAGGGCTGTGCTCCAACAACCAGTCCCTCCCTGTTGTAGGAACCTGCCCCTGGCCATCATCATCTCCCTCCCCATCGTCACCCTGGTGTACGTGCTGACGAACCTGGCCTACTTCACCACGCTGACCACTGAGCAGATGCTGACGTCCGAGGCTGTGGCCGTGGTAAGACAGCCGCCTGCCTCCCCAGGGTCCAAGAGCCCGAGACCAGGCTGTCCCTGCATGTAAGCCTCTCCCCTACCTGGAAGGGCCACGCGGCTGTCCTCAGTCTCCATGGAAGGTGTCACAGGAGGGCTCCCCCGCTGGCCAGAGGTGTGGCGGCCTCCACCATGATCAGCACGTCTGCGCTTGGTCAGGTGGACAGACTGCCCCTGGGCTGTGTCCTTGGCCTCTGTGGCTCCTGCCCCTTGCCCTCCCATGCGGTGGGAGCAGGGTGTCCTTGCTGTGCCTGAGTCTCAGATCCCGCACTTGCAGAGAGCCACTCACCAGGCCCTGTGAGAGTCCCCAAGTGAGGCAGGCAGATCCTCGTCCCCAGACCTGCACCAGCTGGGCATGGCCAGGCAACCCAGGGAGGCCCACCAGAGGGCCTGCCATCAGGAGCATCCAGAGTGCAACCTTGTGAGCAGGACTGGGACAGTCAGGGAAGGGCCACTGTCCTGAGTTGTCCCCACAGTCCAGATCTGATCCCAGGGATGGCTATGTGTGCACAAGCCAGGATTAGGCCAGGTGGATCCTGGGTCGGCCCTGGTGAGGTCCCAGGGCTCACGTCCTTGTGTCCCTGCAGGACTTTGGGAACTACCACCTGGGAGTCATGTCCTGGATCATCCCCGTCTTTGTGGGCCTGTCCTGCTTCGGCTCTGTCAACGGGTCCCTGTTCACGTCCTCCAGGTGAGTGCCCGCCTGGGGTCGAGGGAGTGTCCGGCTGCCAGCCCCTCATCTGTGTTACAGCCTGTGCTTTGAAGTCCTGTTTGTGGTGTGGGAGGGAGGCGGGAAGTGGTGTGCCCCTTCCTGGACTGCAGGAGTAACACCAGGAGGACTGGAGGGAGGCCACCAGGGCTCCTGCCCCTGGGACCCGACTTGCTGGCTGCGGTCCACCCTTAAGCCGTCTGTAGGCACCTCCATCCACGGGTGGGGTCCTGGGCCTGACTGCTCACTGCTTTGTCCACAGGCTGTTCTTCGTGGGGTCCAGGGAAGGCCACCTGCCCTCGATCCTGTCCATGATCCATCCACAGCTCCTGACACCCATGCCGTCCCTGGTGTTCACAGTAAGCCTGCCACACAGCCCTGCACCCTCCGCCCCGCCACCTGTGTTGTCCAGGTGTACACAGTGGCGCTCTGGGCTCTGGAGCAGCCAGAGCGCCACCTTGTGAGCAGGACTGGGACAGCCAGGGAAGGGCCACTGTCCCTGAGCCGCGGACGGTGACTGGGATGCTGCAGGGGCTGGGAGCTCTAGTCAGCCAGGCCCCGGGCACCGAGAAGGCACTTTAACTCTGCAGCACATGCTGGTGTAGACAGTCCCACTGCTGAGACTCTCCGGGCACCTCTGGGGCTTGGGCATGCGTCCACCGTGCACTTTTCTCTCTCCTTCTCTGAGCCTGTTTGTTAGTTCTCTGCTTCTGTGTGACAGCCACCCAACCCGGGGTCCAGAGCACAAAGCCTTTACCTTCCCACATCCTGCAGCGCCAGCGTGGGCTGCCCACCTTGGTCTCAGAGCTTGATGACTGCAATTGGCATGCTGCCCTCCAAGGGCATGGCAGGGGCTGTGGACAGGAGGCCAAAGGTTGTGGGCACACGGGCTTCTCCACAGGGAGTTTGGGTGCCCTCGCGATGGGACGCTGGCTCCCGCTGCACATGTGATCCAGAGAGCAAGACGGCCGTGTGCTTTGTGGCCTAGCCCCGGCCGGGTCTGCTATCCTTGCTGCCTGGGCCTGTTTGTTAAAGTGCCATTCCTCGGGGAGCAGGGTTAGGCTCCACCTCTTAAAGAGAGAAGTATCACAGAAGTTCTGGACATGCTTAAAGGGCCAGCTTGACCTTGGTTTTAAAACGGCCATCTGTGTAGTGTGGGGACTCTGTACTTACTATGATCCCCAGTTGGTGGGTGCATAGTTTAGTTCCAGGTTGCTGCTTTGATGCAGGGTGTGCAAGAAGCGTTGGGTCCAAGCATCTATGCTTGCTCTGTGGGCAGCACCTCCACTGTCCTGGAAGCCCATCGCTCTCCTGGCCTCTCTGCACCTCACACAACCCCCATGTGCTGGAGGCTGAGGCTGGTCACGCTCCTCCCTGGACTGGGCACAGCCCTGCCCAGGGCTCAGCCAGCCCCTTTCTCCCGGCAGTGCATCATGACCCTGCTGTACGCCTTCTCCAAAGACATCTTCTCCGTCATCAACTTCTTCAGCTTCTTCAACTGGCTCTGCGTGGCCCTGGCCATCATCGGTATGGTCTGGCTCCGCTTCAAGAAGCCCGAGCTGGAGCGGCCCATCAAGGTGAGCACTGGCGGTGGGTCCAGCCAGCACCCCAGGCAGAGAGCAGGCAGGGCTGGAGTGTCCCGAGGAGCCTGAGGCAGGAGCGGGACCCGCAGGACCTCCCAGTCTCCACCTCCCCCCAGCAAAAGGGCATTGCTGCCCTCTGGAGGGCTCTGAGAACTGCAGTCAGCTTCGTGAGCATGCGCGGTGGACGGGGCCCGGCAACTGGGAGTCCTGGGAGCAACAGGTGGCCACTGGCAGCAGCTCCTGTCACTTGGCCAGCTCCCTTTGGTACTAGGTCATGATAACTGCCCCCTGCCACAGGCCTTGCCCTGTCCCCACCCCACCTCAGCTGTTTTTAGAGACGGGAAGAGCCTGGCTATCTGGAGGGAGCCCCGTGACTTAGTGCCCAGGACGCCCTGGTCTCCCCTTGCCCTGGGCCTGGGAGCTCAGGTAGCCAGTGTAGCATCTAACATGTGGTTAATGTTCCACCTGACGAGGGCCCACAGGAAGGCTGTCGAGGAGTGGCCAGCTAGACGCCCCACCCTTCACAGCGACCAGCCCCACAGCTGGGGCAGGTGTCCAGGAGGGCTTCGTGCAGGCCCCAGGTCCTGCGGGCACGCTTTCCCAGGGGACTGGGCACTGTCATGGAGTCGGTTCCCTTGAGCCTGGCCGCCTGTGGGCGCAGGACAGCAGAGCTCTCAGAACAGGCCTGTTGGCACCGCCCACAGACAGACCGGGAAGCTGGCTCTGCGGCCCCTGGCTTCTGCCCCAGCATGTCTGCGGGCCGCGGGTTTGGGGCAGGAGTGCCTGGTCCACCCACAGAGGGCCCTCTGAGCAGGCAGGACTCTGCCTGCTGGTGGGTGGCCAGGCCTTCCCAGAGGCTCTGCATCTGTGATGTGGGAACCAGCAGCCCCTCCGCCCCCGGAGCCCAGCTGCTTGTTTTCATTCCTCTGCTGACTTGGGGCCATTCCATGCCTGGTGCCTGTGCCAGGGCCGAGGTGAAGTGCTGCGGACGTGGGCTCAGTTCGTGCCCCGGGGCTGACCCTGCAGAAGGTGCAAGTCAGCGCCTGCCCTGTCAGCACAGGCACTGGCCGGGGCTGTGGGTGGGGTGGGCGCAGATCCCAGGGAGGCTCCAGGGTGGCCGCCGGCCACAGGACATGGGCTGGAGCTCTCCGTGGGCTGGTGGAGGTCACTCGGCGGGGTGTGGTGGTCGGGAGGAGCCCAGGCCCAGATGCTGACGCCCTGCTGTGTGCCCCCAGGTGAACCTGGCCATGCCGGTCTTCTTCATCCTGGCCTGCCTGTTCCTCATCGCCGTGTCCTTCTGGAAGACGCCTGTGGAATGTGGCATTGGCTTCGCCATCATCCTCAGTGGGCTGCCTGTCTACTTCCTCGGGGTCTGGTGGCAGAACAAGCCCAAGTGGCTCCTCCAGGGCATCTGTGAGTGTCCAGGCTGCTGGCCGAGATGGGCTGGCAGCAGCCAGGCCTTTGGCCACTGCAGGGTGTCAGTGGTGAGGGCACCCACCTACTCCCAGCTCAGGAGCTGGGCAGCAGCTCATCTCAGAAAGAGGGGTTCCCGAGAACCAGGCTGCTGCTGCCAGAGAAGTGCCCACTGTCACTCACCAGCCTTGACACACTGCCTGACCTTCCTGGGCAGAGCAGGAGAAGGCGCCAGGCCCGGGGGGGTCCACATCAGAGTGGGCCCTGTCCTCACCCGTGTGGAAGGCCAGGCTTGAGAGAGTCCGCACCGGCGGGCCTTGCCAGCACCTAAGCGCTGGGTGACCTAAGATTCTAGGGTGGCCCCTGTGCAGGCGAGGAGACCCACACCAAGGGCTGAGCCCCCCATCATTTGAGCAGGACTCTCCCTCCAGCCTGGGTCCCCGTGGAATCTCATGCAGGGTCACGCCCAGAGCAGACCTAGGACACAAACCTTGTTCTGAAACCACCCGTCTCCCTCCCCAGGCAGGCTCTGCGTAGACTGCCAGGGTGGCCCTGGAGGTGGCTGGGGGGGGCGGGGGCGCTGGCCAGGCAGCACTACAAAGAAAAAGGAGAGAGTGCCAGGCGGTTCTTGGGGCCCCTCGCAGGCAGTATGGGCCGGGCACACGCACAGTGGCGAGGCCACCAGGTTGCTGTGCAGTCACAGGGCTCTGGGGTGGGCAGCTGCACCTGCTCCCACACTCCTCGCCCGCTGGCCAGGGCAGTCTGGCATGACGGAGAGTTGCAGAATGTGCTGCTGGCCAGGAGGCCCTGGGGAGGCGCCAGTGCTGACCACACGGTCTGGAGGGCCACACAAAACTTGGAGTTCCTGTCCTGCAGCTTGGCACGGTGTGGGGACAGGTTGGGTGGGAGCTGGGCTTGTGGGTCCTCGTCTCCACAAGAAGGACGCCTGGCCCAGCCCGTGGCCTGGCCGCGCTCACTCTGTCCTCTCCCCGCAGTCTCCACCACCGTCCTTTGCCAGAAGCTCATGCAGGTGGTCCCGCAGGAGACCTAGCTGGCGGCAGACGCTGCGGGCAGGGAGCACGCGAAGGCCACGCACAGACAACTCAGAAAAGCAGCTCCCGGCCTCCCTCGTCCCTCACCGTCCCTGCCCGGGGCGGCACCCACAGCAGCTGTGAACACTCTGGTACGAATGGTGTCCTGGAAGATGGATGTCCCTGGTGGCTCCTGGGCACGGTGCCAGCAGTGAGCTGGGGCAGGCCTGGTGGCCCCCCGTGGGACCCACCGCCTTCTCCCTTCCCTATTCATCTGCATTCAACTTAAATTTGGGGTCAGGTACTGCCACCAACTGACTGCTGTTTAGAGAGGTCAGGAGGAGGTGGGCCTCCAAGGGACCCGACGCCGTGGCTGCACAGAGCACTGAGGACCTGCACTGGCGTGGCAGTGCCTGTCTGCGGGCGCACCCCCAGCTGCTCCAGCCCTCTTCCTCCAGCGCCGGCCGAGGGCTGAGAGAGAAGAGCCCTGGCTGTGTCTTTGCCTTAAAGTCTCGATGGCTCCTGCCCTGGGAGCCCTGGAACGAACCTTCAGCAGCAAGAGCCAGCCCTGCCTGTCCCTGGGGTTGAGCCTGGGGCTGTGTGCATCTAGGGACAGCCAGGAAGGCAGGCAAGGCACGGCCGGGGACCCCAGCCTCGGCCTCCCACTGACCACAGCAGCCCTGGGGCTGGCTTCCCCCGTGGCCAGGGTGTCCTTCCCCTCACGTGCCCCATCCCACTCTCAGAAGACAGCAGACCCTTCCTGGGCTCTCCTCTCTCTGCCTCCGGTGGGCACTTGAGGCCTGGCCAGCACATCTGGCCACACTCTTCTTGCTGAGCTGTCAGGAAGTCCCTGCAAGTCACCCGCAGAGAGCGGTTCTCTCTTCAGGTCAGACTGAAGGGACTCTGAGGCCTGAGAAGCTCAGCAGGCTCCTGTCTTGCCCTGGGAGCTCAACCTCAGCTTCAGACCTCTGACCCCCCAGGAGGAGGGCCCTGCCAGCCACTTGGCAGGGTGCAGCGTGTTCCTGGGGTGCGCTGTGGCCAGGTCGTGGGACCCCCACCTGTGAGGCAGGTCAGAAGGGTCCGTCTGGTTCTGGGGCCTGTGTCCATGGTGCTGACTCTGACTTGCCGGCTAGTGTCCAGGAGCATAGTAGGACCATGGCCCATCTGGGAAGTCTCTGCTGTCCAGCCAGGCATGGCCGACAGTCCACAGGGCCTGGGATAGCAGACCCTGGCCTGACAGCCTCTGTTTGTCCCCTAACACTTACTAACGCGGAGGTACGCTTGGCACCGTGTTTATTTATTTCAGGTGGCCGGCTGGAGCCGTGGTGTATTGGCACCGCGTCTGAATCGGCCACCTTGGCCATCCACTGTGGCGTCCACAGAGCTAGTGACTCGTGGCTGGTACATCTTCTATTCTGTGTTAATGGCTAACCTGTTACACTGGGCTGGTGGGGTGGGGAGTTATTTGTGGGGTCTTTTTGTTTTTAAAGAAATGCGACTGAGATTCTAAAAATCGCTGGTGCTTCTGTGTTCTTCTTTGGGGCCACATTGGGTATTGGGAGGTTCCAGGTCCCCCCCCAATATCGCTGTCACAGTCATCGGTCTGGACAGGTGTGTGTGGCCCCGCACAGTGCGGGGGATGTCACGACCTTACAAGTGTGGGACCCTGGGGTGGCCAGGCTGGAAGGCAGCCAGGGACAGGGCAGGACCAGGGCAGGGACTGCAGCTGAGGGAGCCCTGAGGTGGAGGGGCCCGGCCTGGGGGGCCAGAGTGCTGGTGTGGGGCACCCAGATGGAGGATTCCAGGCAGGGGGAGGGAGGGGGCACACCACAGTGTCGACCCCAGGGGCCAGGACCTGCTCTGGGGACCTGGGGACCTTGTCCCAGAATGGTGTGGGGAGGGTGTAGGCCTTGGTCACAGGCCCAATCTGCCATTAGGGTAACTGGGCTGGCTGCCTCCTAATGCAGCGGGACTTGCAGGTGCCTCCCACGCAGGGAGGATGGGCACAGAGAGGCCTTGGGCAGGTGCCCTCCCTCCACTTTGTGAAATGAAGAAGTGGGCCTGTCCACGCCAGTCCCGCTGCCCACCTCCAGGCAGTTCCTGGTCCGCCTTTTATGTGGCCCCCAGCCCTGACACAGTGAAACAGGCAGCTGGTGACACAGCAGCTCGGCACCCTGACACCAGCCCTGGCGCCACCTGGGGCAGGAGACTGGCCACGAGCCCCGCTTCTCTGGGTGACAGCCCAGTGGGCGACTGGCTACCCCAGCTGCCGGTGGCCATACCTCGAGCAGCGGCCACGCCCCTCCTGCTGGGGTGGCGCCTTGGGCACTCCTGAGGGGCTGCCAAACCCCTGCCCTGCGGCACTTCCTGATGACGTCCACTGTGAGCTTAACACCCGGTGCGCCTGGACAGTGGCCCAGGTTGAGCAATTCCCACCCATGTCCTCAGGAGCAGCTGGCTAGGAGAAAGCCCCTTTCCCAGGTGACCTAGGGGAGGGGCAGGCCCTCCCTGGGACAAGACCAGTCCTAGACCCTCAAGCTACCCCTCAGGCACCATGTGGCTGGCGGAGTGGAGAGCCCCACAGCCCTGCCCGTCCCGCTCCTCTCAGCCTGGCATCGGCCTGGAGGGGGACCCTGAAGGCCAAGCCTGGCCGGAGGGGTTAGGTGGGAGCTGGCCTGGTGGACTTGTCGCCCCCTCCTGGGGCAGGGCAGGGCGGGCTGCTTGGGTAGGTGCGAGGCAGGGGTTTTGAGAAGGGAAACAGCAGGTTTTACGAAGGAGAGACTTCCTGCAGAACTACTCCAAGGAATGGAGATGTCTCACTGGGGGATGCTGCTCCAGCCACGCGTTAGCTCTCTGTGACCAAAATGCCCGGCAAGAACAATTAAAGGAGGGAAAGTTTACTTTGGCTCACAGAACAGAGCCTCAGTCCATAGATGGCTCCATTGCCCCAGGAAGGGCCTGGTGGAGGAGAGGAGAGCAGCTCTCTGCAGGAAGCCCCCGGGAAGCTGCGGCAGGGCACATGTGCCCTCGCAGGGCCTGCCCCCAGCGACCAGCTCCAGCCATGGCCACCCGCCAGTCCAGTCACCCTGGGTGAGCTCAGGAGCCCCAGGGACTAGACACCTCTGGATGTCCCTGCAGGGACACAGGAGCTTCAGGGCACACCTCATGTCCATACCCTAAACTGTAAGGCCTGGGAGGGTCTCCAGTTCCAGGAGAGGGGAGGGAATGGGGCCAGGGATCGGGGTGTGGTGAAGGGCCCTCGGGAGGCTTCAGGCTCTCCGAGTTCCAGGCTCTGGGGAAGGAGAAGAACTGAACCAGTTTGCTCACGGCATTTTGTCTCACTGGGTGTGGCGGCCACATCTGTAAACCCAGCAGGAGGCTGAGGCAGGAGGAGCGCGAGTTCAAAACCATGAGTTCAAAGCCAGCCTCCACAACTACCAGGTGCTGAGCCACTCAGTGAGGCCCCGTCTCTAAAAAAAATACAAAATACGGCTGGGGTGTGGCTCAGTGGTCTGGGGTGTGGCTCAGTGGTCGAGTGTCCCTGAGCTCAATCCCTGGTACCACACACACACACACAAAAGCATTGTGTCATTGGTCACTGATGAGACAAAGGAGTGGAAGCCGGGGGTCTGTGTAGATCCCTGCCCATGCACTCCACCATCCTTCCCACCCGCCCCCCCAGCTCCAGCTGGCTCCCTGATACCAGAAGAATTTGGAAGACGGTGGACGTGAGTCCTTGGTGCCAGGCAGAGGCAGCTCTCCTCCCTAAAGAGAGGGGCAGGGCTTGGGGCTGGACTTGAGCTGTACCCCATGAGGCTTCTACCAGGCATCCCCTGAAATGAGAGCAGGGTGTCCCAGGCCCCCACCGCCCTGCCCGTCCCTCAGCAAGTGTCAGCAAGCCCTGTTCTTTGAGGACTCAGCCCACAGAATCCAGGTGCACAGGAAGCCCAGCCGCTGCTAGGACCAGCGTGACAGGAGAGGCACCAAGAAGCGTGAGAGCCCTGACTAGGTGTGACAGCGCGGGAACAGCACCACCCTGCCCAGCTCCCCGACTGTCACTGATGTGAAGGGTCTGGACACTGTCCACAAAGCCACCTGGAGAAGCTGGGCCTGTCCCCCCGGGCAGGGCTGCTGATGGAGGTGGGTGGAGAGAGCCGGCCTGCTGCACCAGGGCCTCAGGGCTACTCAGCTCCCAGGGCAGAGCAGGAGATGGGGCTGCTGGGCGGGCCTCTCCTGTGGACCCCCAGGCTCACACAGCCATGGGGCAGGTAGCAGGGCTGCATGGGGAGCCCCCCACCTGGGGCGCTGTCCGAAGCCCGCACAGGCCTGAGCTGTCAGCAGGCATGAGGCTGGGGGTGGGCAGTAGGACTAGGTCCTGGTTGAGAGCGTGGACTGCTGACCTCTAGCAAGTGGGGAGACTCAGGAACCTCCTGTCCCCAGGACCCCAGAGAGGGAAACCAGCACCTACTCTGGTCCTCCCGGCCTTGGGCAGGGCCTCCCAGCCCCCTGAAGAGTCTGTCCACCCTCCACCTGCTTCCAAAACATCTGCAGGGGTGGTGACAGTGGAGAGCACCCTCCAGCTCCTGTAGGCGCACTGCAGGGAAGAGTCCCGCAAGCCCTGCCCCTTCCAGGTTGAGGCGCCGCAGCAGAGCCTCCAAGGGGCTCCCCAGGTCCACGGCTGGCTGGCTGGGCAGCAGAGGCCACCCTCTAGCACCTCGGCCAGAACCTGTGGGGCCCACTGGTCGCTCCTGAGAAAGTGAACTGACCCTGCAGTCGTACATGGGGAGATGGGTGATGTTGCCCCACCCGACGGAGAAAATGGGGCCCCTAGACATCCCTTAGCCTACCCGAGAAAACAGGAACTGAGAGGTGGGATTGGACCCATGTGTGCTGGATGCAGAATCCCACACCCTGGCACCAGAACACCGCGGCCCCAGGAGAGGCGCCTGGCCCTGCACCCTGCAGGCCTGCCCCACCTCCAGCCCACCCTCTTCCTGGGCCTGCCTGGCCTCAGCGCCCA